TTTGGTCGCCCCCATTCAATTTTGCATTGCTGGGGGGCCTTGAAAAGGGCCGAAAGTTGCCCTGAAGAGGCGACCAGCAAGGAGGGGCTTTCGCTGGAGCAACTCTCCCACTAACAGCCGAAGTCGCATTTACCATCTGGCAACTTTAAAGCAGCGTGGAAAAGACTGGGTGAGATCTGCCTCTCTTACATCCTAATTACTTAATTATCTGCATAAGCTGCTAAAGTACTTTCCCCCCTGTGGTGAGGGAAGGGGGATTTTTGCCCTCCCTCCAGAAACAATGGTGATTGACCACTCAGGGAAGTTTAAAATGTTGGAAAAATACTGGGATCCTTATTGGAATTCTATTTCCTAAAATTGGTGGATTATAAGATTTGTAACTCTCTACTCTCTATTTTTTTCTCTGATTTTTACTCTTAACTATTATTGAAAATTTGGGTTTTACTTTTCCCTTAAAATAGAGGGAACTAACTTTGAGATGACATTTGGTGGCTAAATTTGAGACTTTAATCTGCTATTCTTTAAGAGAGACTTGTTGACAGCTTTGAAAATAGATAAGATATAAAGCAACCTTGAAGCACCATCTGCAAGAAACTCAACTCATCTCCCCTCTTGGTGGACTTTCTGACTATAAGGTTTTTTTAGTTTAATATACTACAATGGAAGAAGAACAGGAATGGTTTTCTCCTACAGAGGAAGAACAAGAACAAATTCTTTGTATGTTAAAAGCGATTATTCAAACTCTCCATATAAATCTGGATATGCAAACTCAAACTATGACTTCAACCAAAGAATCATCTATACAGAATTCTATAGAGAAGAGTGAAACAACCAAATGCTATGACAGAAGACTTAGATACTCAACAAATCCAATGGAAAACACAAAAAAGAAACTGATAACAGAGAACAAGGAAAGGACTTTTCTCATAAACCAGAAGGAATTTGAAGATAAAAAAGAAAAACAGATGAAAGAAGATAAATACTTCGGGACAACTGCATCGAACTGGGAAAACAAAGAGACGACCTGCTACATCAGCTAGTCCTCTTAAGAAAATACCAACTGGATGTTTTTATCAATATCAAACAATAGCCACAATACAAGATCTTTTTGATGATTTAAAAGCAAAGATACGAAAGATGACTTGGCAAAGAAAAAAAGCTAGAATAAGACTGAAAAGGATTGGGGTTTTGATTTACACATGAAATCTAAAATAGAATATATCCAAATGGATAGAATATGTGTTCTGAACATAAGATATTGTAATGATTTGAGATAAAGAAAATTTTGGTTATATAAAATCTAGAAATATAAATATTGAAATAAGAATATTATATTGTTTTATTAATTTGTTAAGATAGATGGTAGAATTTATATATAAGGTGTGTATTTTAAATATTAGAGTGTATGAGGAATTGTGATAAAGGAATTGTGCATAATTAAAAATTTGGGGGGGAATTAAACATTAAATTAAAATATTAAGAGAAAATTAACTATCAGGCCACTGATTGGCTAAAAGTTTGAATGTTTAAAAATAATTAAGATTTGAATTTAAGATATTGTTATGAGTTGAGGCAAAGGTTAAGTAAAACTTAGAAGTATAAATACTAATAATTAAAATTGTATATTGGTTTATGGTACAAATGCTGATAGGTTTTTTTCCTTTTTTCTTTTGGAAAGGAAGGAAGGAAGTAGAAGGAAGAAAAGAAAAAAAATTATTACCCCCAAATATGAGATAGGAGACTTAGAAATTGGGGTCATTTAAATTTGGAAATGATAAAGATTAAATGTTAAATTTAAATATCAATGGGAAATTAAAGTTAAGAAAAATTTACTAGATTATTGTCTAAAAGATGGAATGTCAAATCAATTAAGATATGTATAGACTTAATGGAATTACTGTGCCCAGCCGCCACGCTACTTTTCAAATATGTAAATGTAATATTGGAAAACAAATAAAAAACTTGGGGGGGAAAACAAAAAACAAATGAAATAAATGCATGGTGCTGTAAGGTCCCAGTCCCTTACTTAAACTTGAGATACCATATTAATCTAATTAGATAACCCAAGTGGAGACTTCTTGATTAAGCAGCACTGTATTTGACCAAATTAAGCAGCTGGGTGGCCAACAATCTGGAACACTGGCAGAGTCACATCCAGAAGTGTCACGTCTTAGAAAGTTGGTAGCATTGCTTAATACACTTTGTTAGCCAATGAAAATCAGACAACAGAGCCATTCCATCATAAGAAAGACATCAATCATTTCTGTACAGTCCCTTATTCCCTCCTTCAGTGTATCCCATCCATGTACACGTTTCCCAAGCTTGCATGAAATTTCTCTGGTGCAAAAGCTGATTAAAAAAAGGAAGAAACCAACAGTTAGACTAAACAATTTCCCTTTGTTCCAGAACCCTTCAGTGCCATCGAATGTCATATCATATGCAAATTATTTTTATAATATATGCAGTGAAGTCATGATCCATGTTATCATTTTGAAATAATATATCTAGGAAAGCAAACACTTTGGAATCCAGATAAAATTTAAGATTTTTAAGAAAATTTTTTTGTTTAGCTTTAACATACACAATTAAAACAATTTTCAAACTTAAAAGAAGTCTTTAAAAATTAGAAAAAAGATGTTGAGACTTTAGAACAGGCATGTCAAACTTGCGACATCACATAATGTTGCATGACATATTGTGGCTTTTTCTCCATTGCCGGCAATGGGTTGAGCGCAGTTTCAGTATAATGCAGCTGGCCCGAGGCCCAGCAGTTTGACATGCCTGCTCTAGAAAGAGTACAGAAAAGAGCAATCCATCAATGGTAGGAACAACCGTCAGTTGCCTTTACATATTGCATTAGGTGATCGAACAGGTTGGTTTGGTGATGGCTTCCTAACTTATATGAACCTAAGCAATTGTGAGCTTCATTGCCGTCCTTCAGAATTTTTGTTTTCCAATTTCCCACTCTAGTAGTATTCTTTCCACCAGGTCAGACCTTTTTCTTTCTTCTTTTTTTTTGTAATTTATTGATTTTTTAAAACATAAATCACTTAATAATTGATGAACAGTGTGTTTTCTGGGTTTACATTTATAAAACAATCATTAACAATTGATTTCTATAATCCATAATCCACTTAATAGTTTTAATTGATTTCCTCTTTTCTCCCAAAATATCCTCTTTTGCAAACATTGAGTTACTAAATTCTTATTGTTTTGACAGATAACAATTAAATATATATTTTTCCCAATATTCCTAAAAATGATATTCTCTCTGGTAGGTCCCATCATCTATTTTCTTTATTCCCACTTTGGCCTTTTTCCTTTGCTCGATATCTTTCTTAATCAATGTATTTTGCTGAGTCAGAAGGTTTTTCCATATGTTCATAAATGTTAATGTAGATATAAAAAGTAAATCAGATGAAGTGTCTTTGTACGGGGCTTCTGCCTTTCCATGTTTGTTGAAAATCTTTTTCTTTCTCTCCTCTCCTCTTATCATTTCCTTTCTCTCTGATGTTCTTGACATCTCTACAGACCATTTTATCCAATCTGTTTTCTTGTCCTCAAATTTATTTGGCAGTCTTAAGGGATAAGTTGTTTTTTCCAATTATTTTGATTTTTTCCCCACTAGGATTACATCATGTTTCCTTGTTTTGTTAAGTTCTATCTTTAAGTCTCTGTTCTCAGTTTTGTATCTATTTATCTGTTTTATCTGCTCCTTCTCTGTTTTTTTTTCTGGGGTTTTTGTTGTTGTAGAGTTAACTTGGAAATAGATTGATTTATATTTTCAAAATTATTTTGGATTTCTTTGTGGTTTAAAATCATTGTTGTTTGAATTAATTGCAGTATACTATATATCTCCACCTATGGAGTATTTATGTTTTCTTGATATGTTCTTTCTACATGTCTCTGATCCATGATGGCCAAGAATTTGAGTTTTGTCTTCTTTTCCTTTCTCTGCAAATAACTTTAGAGTCCCGATTAAATAGATATTTGTAATCCAAATAGTTTAAAAAAGATTTTTTTCCTGAAATTTATAATTCTCCTTGTTTACAGCCCAGATTATTGTCTCTCTTTTTTCTCACAGCTTTGAAGGTCACAAACACAGATTAGCTTTTCCCAGGTTTTGCCAAGTCTTATATTAAAGTCATAGCTGCCATAGTCTTCATCCACCACTAGGTGTCAGCATCTGTTTGTTTTTCAATTTTCAAAATGAACAATTATCTTTAGAATGAGAGCCTTAACCATTCAACAATTTTAGATTTATTCAGATTTGAGTTTTAAATTTCAGGTTTTATATTTGTTTCACTTCCATGTATTTTGATCCTCCATAAAAAGATTAATTTGCCACTTCCGTTAGCATAAGGGTGGGGTGCAAATCCCCCTCCTTCCCTTTCGGAGGAATTTTGTTTCTTGGGGATCTTTTGAAGGAAATTAAATATAGAATAGAAAAGAGAAGATCAAATTCCTCACTCAGTTTCAAGCACGCAAAACCGGAAGTCCAGGTCAGACCTTCTTCAGCTTTTAAGCCCAGTCGGTCAAATGCTGCCATTTAACAGGCCATTCCTTTGCAAAACCAAAGGATCAGAAAACAAGTGACGATTTATACGATTTTATTGCTGTGGATACTTGAGAATTTACATGAAAACATGATTCTCAAAAGATTCTATTTAGTGATTGGGAAGTGGGGGTTAATCTGGGATCCTTTTGAGGCAACAGTGGGACCCGGGTATATGGATATGTTTGTGGGGTGACTGCATGACTCCATATGAGCGTATTGTAAATGCCACAGAAGTACCAATAGAAGAAAATATTCTAGAACTGATGATGTTACCTAGCTGGGTAATGAAACGTCTGCAAGAAGACAAGCTCAGAGAGCATCAAGGACCCCACTGTCCCAGAAGTGGACAGAAATTGAAAGATATTCAGAGGTTAAAATATTTGGAATGGTCCATTTTAGAGTCAGAAATTTTGCACCTCACCCTAAAACAGGCTTCCATTTTACTGAGATTGTTTTATACTGAAATTAAATGGGGTATGATCTCTGCAGCACTATTTTAAGCATTTATTACTCCAAAGGCAGTCCTATTTGAGTCTAAAAAAAGTTTACTGCCTGGGAATATATTCCAATGTAGTTGGATATGGTTAGGGATATAGAAGAGATATACTAATATGTTACATTTTCTCCTCTTAACTTTTTCAAAACTTTTCATGGGGGGCAAGTCACAGTTGTATTTCCTGCAATAATGCTGTGGATCCAGTCAGTATAATCGAAGACCTTGATGAAGAGGCCAGGCTCATACGGTTGGGCACAAGTTTTGCCCCCAGCATGTACAATGCCCTGGAATTGTCCATTACAGATGAGGGGTCCCCCAGAGTCACCCTGTTGAGAAAAATCAAACATGAAACATTACTACCGTATCTATGAATGGAAAGTGGACCAAACAATTCTCTCCCATCGTCCATTCACATATAGCCCCCAGTGTTTCACTTCAATGTTCCCCAATCCAGGATCTTTGTAAAAGAATTTAACTCCTTGAGTTTTCCCCACCAGAATCACCAGTATTGGGAAGTCTGGAAATCTAGACACCTAGAAGGCACTTGAGTTACAAAAACCCATAACTTTGTATGTTTCTACAAGATGCCTTCAAGGCTAGATCTCTGTCATAGCTTTGAAAATTGGCATCATTTCTTTAGGAGTCTGTCTTAAAATGGATCATCTTACCCGACATATACCTTTGCCTCCTTGCAGGATACCTGCACACAATATTCTGCTTTGCGCTGGCATCCTTCGGTAAACTGCTCGACACAACGAATAACGGAGTAATTTAATGTTAGCACAATAAGGGACATCGGGATAAGTCTCTGAAAAAAATAAAAAATAGGCAAAATTCTACTTTTCACAATTTACCACCTAGATGCCTACAGCTATAATTTCCATTGTCTCCAAACAGTGGAGCTGATCTCATTGCCTGGAATAGGAAGTATTGTTTTTTAAAGCCGATCAAAGGGACTCCTGGGAAAAACAGATTTAGTTAAATGTTTTTTGTCAAGATATTAATAGGTCTTAAATCAGCTGTTGGGCATTTGAAGGCTTCTCAAATTTCTCCGGCACTCTACGCAAAGATTGCCTTGTTGGAAAAGTGGGGCTTTTGCTAGTTCAAAAGTCACAGAACTGATCTCGCATCCCCTGGAGATAACCTAGAACGGGGGTTCTCCAAACTTGGCAACTTTAAGACTTGTGAACTTCCACTCCCAAAATTCCTCAGCCAGCATACTGAAACTTCCATATCTGAAGATGAAGCAGATCCATACGTTTGTATTGTGTACAAGAAAAAAAAAAGCCAGGAATCTTGTCTAAAAGATCCCTTGGGGAGGACAGATGAGGTGGAAATAAGTCTAAGGAAACAAAGGAAAAATATCATCTGAATCAGACAAAGTTGAGCCTGAGAATATGGAATAAACCCAGCTAATCAACAAATCAAGAACTTTTCAGGATAAAAAGGGGTCCTAAAGCTCACCCATTCCTTGAGTCATCTTTGGATCCACAACTTAGGAGTTTCTGTCCCTCTAGCTGGTGCCTGACAGCCTAATTGAGAAGAATGTGTCTAAACACGGATGGGTGCATGTGTGCGTATGAGAAAGAAAAAATTTACATCACAAGCAGTAATGTTTTGCTGTTACTTTAAATTCACTGGGTCTCCATGTATTTCAAAAAACTTGTGGTGCCTCTGTGATTAGTTGAAAATTATTTGTGTGAGTTCTTAATTATTTCCCAAGGCTGTGTGACTTGTCTGCTCTAGCTACACCTATTTGGTAGAAACCTAGGTAGAAAACAAGGTGGGCTTACAAGATCTACCTACCTTGGCAGGCTTGAATGCATGGATGACCATAAGCCAAAGCTGAGAGTGCATGTAACACTTCCATGGCCTTACTAGCAATAACAATAGGACTTAGACCTATATATTGCATATTGCCCCCAACAATCTGAGTACTCCTCTTATCAACCTCAAAAGGATGGAAGGCTGGCTTCCGGTTCCGGGTCGCAGCGGTGCAGTCAAACAAAGGGAGTCCTCCCTTTGCCGGCCGAGTTTCCTCTGTCGGTAGACCCCTGAGAGGGTCAAAAAGTTGCTCTGGAGGAGCAACCACCGTTGAGGAGGCTTCTCGGATGGCTGCAGAGTGGCGGCAGTGCCCTCTGTAGTCTGAGTATCTCCTTTGGGCTGACGGAGTAAAGATCGGTCAGTAAAATGGCCGATCATTTAGCTGCGCCAACCGTAAGCCATAAGATCATCTAAGCAAACAGATCCACTGTGGAAGATTCAGTGAGACTTTTTTTTACCTCTATTTTCTTTCTTTTTTTCCTGTGAAAAGCTTTTTTTTTATTCATTTCCCTTTTTGTTGAAGCAGCGTTTTAAATGGGGGAAGAAAAGTCTAAGAAAAAGACTAAATCTATTTTTGTTTTAATGGCTGATTTTATTTTTGGCTATTTGGGAGCCCCAACGAAATTTCTTATTGAGACTTAACACGCTATGTATTTGGAGAATATTTTTTGTTTTTATTTTTTATGATTTTTGAAAAGACTGAATATTTAATTAACTTTGATGACTCTTTGGGCGACATTTTCTGCTGAAACTACGTATTGCTTTTGCTATTTTCTTCTCTTGGAATTTGTACAAAGGAAAGAGACCAAGGAACTTGGGAGGAGATGGATATTGATTGATTGCTGGTAAATATAGTCTCCCCCAAAAAGATAATGTCCTCAAATATGATAAAAATGGAGGAAACTTGTTCAGATTCTATTTATAAGTATATTTTGGACAAAATTTTGGAAAACACGGAGATGATAATTGCCTGCAGTAAGGAGATCTCTCTGCATCGACAAAGCAAAGCACAAGGTTTAAGTGAAACAGCAGTTCATATTCAAGAGACTTGTTCTCAGTCCAGAGAGATGGAAGAAGCAAATGTACAGTTGGATTACCAATTGATATTGGAAAAAAGTTTTGATATTAATGGACAAATGACCTATAATAAGGAAATGGAGGAGCTTACTTCAGAAGGACAAGCTGATTTGCAGACACCATTTGACTTTCCGATAGAGGAAAAATTATTGGAAGAGCAAAATTTGATTAAAGAGGACTATATTAAAAAAATGATTTCAACTAAAGTTTATACAACTTTTAAAAAGATGGGAAATGATGTTCTGACACGAATTATTCAGAATAGCTGTAATTCTTATATCAGCCCAATAAAACGGACAATGGGAGATCTCTTGTTGCTGTGTACAGTGTGGCAGGAAAGAATGGGAGAGCTATCTGCGGAACTAGAGACTCGACTATGGAAACCTATTTGGAATAAGAAGAAACCCAGAATAAGATATAAATATTAAATTTGAGATGATAATTATGGATGGTAAAGGTTTTATAGCGACTCGGATTGTTTTGGATTTGGATTTTGTTAAAAGGGAGGCTATTATGAAATGATCTAGAATTTAATACTGAAATGTAGCAAGAATATGCTTCTTTTTTCTCTCTTTTTTTTCTTTTTTCTTTTTTCTTTCTTTTTTGTTCTTTTTTGGGGGGGATGAGATGGAATTAATAATTGGAGAATTATTGAAAAAGAATAGATATAAATAAGAGAAACCTGGGGTACCTGAATAGTAAATATATAGGTTAGTTTAAATTTTAACATTTGAAAAATTAATAAAATGTAAGACAGGATTTCTGGGATAGATAATGAGCTCTTCTAAACGTTTATTGATTAATGAAATTCATATGTAGCAATATAAATGAAAATGTGTTTTAGAAATATATTAATAAGATTATAATATATCTTAAATAAATGGAGAGTTTCAGTTTAAGTTTAAATATGTGAGAAATTATAGATTTGCATTGAATAGACACTGAGTGGTTGAAAGTTTTGATTAAGAGAATTTATATTTAGATATATTAATGATTTTATTTGAATCAATTTGATTATAATATTATATATAGATAGAGAGGGAAATTTTAAGAAATATTGTGTGAACTGTATATTTATAATGCTATTGTTTTCTTTTGGTAATTGATCACCATATCTCCACGTTGGTTCTTAAGCTTCTGTTGGTGCAAAATGGAAAACTAATAAAAATTGTTTTAAAAAAAAGGGATGGAAGGCTGAGTCAACCTTGAGCCCCGTCAGGATCGAATTCCAGGCTGGGAGCAGAGATAGCCTGCAATACTGCATTCTAACCACTGCACCACCAGGACTTAAAAGGAAGAAATCCTCTGCAACCATCCACAGAGATTTTATATCCATCCAAGGATAGACCATGTTTTTGAGTTCATATTTGGTATTTTGAGAGCAAGGGGTAAATATACTCTGAAAACATCCTCCGCGGGACACTTCTCCATTTACAAAATGGCCATGACCATTCACAAAACACCCGCCATGGCCATTCACAAAACACCCCATTATTAAAGGCAATGAAGCCAGGCAAGACTGCCATGCTAATGGGACTTTTCTGATTCCCAACAGCACTGCTATAAATAAACCTGATCCTATAGGGCCTTTTTTTTTAGCTATTCAGCATGCCAGTTCCTTACTTATTTCTTTTATTCCAAGGACCTTAAGGGTGTGGAACTGATAAAGAAATGAAATCTTAGGGAATTCCATTGTCCATCCACATTCCAATATTCATGGGTGACTTAGTGGGACCCTAGACATAGTTGATGTTACATCAAAAGCTGGGTCTGAGTATACACAGAGATCCTTACCATTAGGAGATGTGATTGCGCCCCATCCCATAATACGGCAAACTGAGCCCACACTGGGAGGGCTGGAAGGCAAGCTGAGAGGCGCGATGTGTTCACTGTTGCTAACAGAACTGTTCAGCCTGATCAACATGATGTCCTTGTCCCATTCAGTATCATTGTTGATACTGAGACAAAAGTACTTCTCCTCTGGGTCTCTTGCCTGCTCATCGTCATTTGGTACACTTGCGCTATGCACACCAAGGTATATCTGCATATTTGGCCTACAAGAAAAACAAATTAACAGCGACAATTTAAAGTAAACTCTATATTACTTGGGATGGTCCTTGACCTCATTTTGGCCCTCAAGCAGGATTGTTAGTGCCAAACAAGAAAGGGCCATAACCTACTTTCTTGAATAAGCTCTTTCCATTGTTTATGCAATATCCTGAAGCGTGAATTCACCTGTGTGCTGTTTAGCACTCAGAAAGCTCAGCATACAGTATGAATCCATCTTTTTCTTGACTTGGATGTGTATTTGGTAAGTGTTGCACTTATAACTTACAGATGACTGTGTTAAAGATAGAACCCTGTGATTACAGTACTAATGTTATGACTTTGTATTGCGCACATCCTCTCTCAACCCAGCCTATCTCAAAGGATGGTGGGATAGATAAAGACGGAACACAAAATCTGGATGGTGCCCACTCTGCTCTTGTTTTGAAGAGGTATTAAGGTGTAGTGCCTCACCCAGGCCTTTGATAAGGGAGAGAGAAGCCTCTCACTTCATCATCTTTTTATCTTTTATGTTTTACTGATTTTTTTTAAAAAAATATTTTCTTATGGCAAATCCCCAGAGTCAGGCAGCATGTGGTTAATATTTTCTGGTTAGTTGCGCAGTCAGTCAGATATTTAAACTGGATTTGGCATTTTTATCAACCTATCAAGTCCTTCCCAAGGACCTGGGGTAGGTAAATGTGGTTCCATGGTATTAAAGGGATTGTCACAGGATGTTCCAAATAAGGCTGCCTTTTGCAATTGACTGTGATGATTTTGTCAGTGCTGATGGTATTCAGGTAATGTTCCAGGTTTTGTTATTCTTGTATTATTATATCCCAGAAAAAAAGAAAAGATATGAATACTATGGTGAAGAAGATGGAAATTCGACCATAAATATAAACAGCATTCCTCAAGATATGATTGTGAGGAGCTCCTCATTTAAAATGCACAGAGAAGTCAGTAAAAACTAGCAGAAACATTATAAAAAAATCTGGATATCGAAACACCATCTCCCTCAACCCTTCCACATTCTGTAATGCCCTTACATGTCGCAGTGTGCAGCGGTGAGCACCCATTCCTGGTTGATCAAAGTCCCACCGCAGAGAGCACCGCTAGAGTTAAACAAGACAACAAGGGAACGATGTTCATTTATGTTACATTCATCACCTCCAATGACCAGTTCAGAAGATTTTTGTGCTGCAAAGAAACCAAAAAAAGTTTAGTGTTTGGCTGTGGAGTAGAACAGAATCGCTTTTATTGGTACTTGAATAAAATAGATTATTTGCAAATCATATATATGCCTATGCCCATGTAAGGGGGGGGGGGTGCGCACGCACAGACACACTTTTGAGAAAGGGCATCAGAATTTCATTTTTAACGTGTACCAGTGTGTTCACAGAAAAGTGACAATAAAGGTTATCCTATCTTAAGATAAAAACTCAGTTTGAGATCTTCTTGTTTAACATAACAACATAGGAAAATTTATTCCCCATTCCTTCAAACATGGTTTTATGAAAGCAAAAATTCATTAAATATTGCACAGCAAGCTCACCACGCTCTGAAATAAGATACGACCAGGGTCTTCTTAACACTTAACGCTTTAGTGCAGGGGTAGGCAACCCAAAACACTCAAAGAGCCACCGAGGGCAAGGTAGAGATGAGTGTCTGGACGCAGCGAGGCATATTCCGCGCGACGGTGGAATGGCGAAGGGTTCAACTTAAACTCCCAGAATTCCTGAGCCAGTAGGCAACCTTGGCTCTTTTATGACTCATGGACTTCACTGGATCAGGAATTCTGAGAGTTGAAGTCCACGAGTCATAGAAGAGCCAAGGTTGCCTCCTGAGCAAATGTGCCGGCCAGGTGACGCCGAGGCCACTTTGCAAAGAGGTAGGTGCCCCTTTGGAGGAGGAGGAGGAGGAGGCGCCGTCACCACCCCTGGCGCTCTCTCCCGGGCTGGGCATCTGCGTGGCGGAGTGGCCGGGCGCTCGCTCCCTTCTCCTGGCCTATGCAAGTCCCCAGAGAAAAGAGCCTACCCACCTTTCTAACAGTCCATGCAGTCTGAAGAGAGAGAAGAGGTTTGTGGGCAGTTCCACAAACCAAAGAAATTCAACCAATCAATTCAAACTTCATAAGTTTTTTTGTGAAAAGTTTGAATTGATTGGTTGAACTTTTTTAGTCCCATTTTTTTTTTGAAATGCATATGGACTGGGAGCCGCAGGAGACGGCTGAAAGAGCTGCATGTGGCTCCGGAGCCGCAGGTTGCTGACCTGTGCTTTAGTGAAACAGGCTTTGCTTTGTTAGTGGTGATAAGATTTGGGCATAGAAAGATTTCCAAAACAGGAGAGTTGACTTATTCAATAGGGAAGTGAAACAGACACTTTTATCACCCCCTGAATTCTCACTCCAGGATCCTAGTTATTTAAAGCAGGGTCTTCCTGCTGGAACAATAGAAGCTCCTTAGAGCATCTTATGAACCACAATATCAATGAGCTAATTGTACTTTCAACCAATTAAACCAGTGTTTCTCAACCTTGGCAACTTGAAGATGTATGGATTTCAATTCCCACAAGTTCCGGGCCAGCATGGCGAATTCTGGGAATTGAACTCCATACATCTTCAAGCTGCAAGACAAAGGGCATTATCTGAAAGCTTGTACAAGCAAAGCTGGAGACAGATGTTTAATACTTTCCCCTCAGTCTCCCTGCACAGTGAGGAACTAGTTATTAATACAGGTAGTTCTTGACTTACAACAATTCTTTTAGTGACCATTCAAATTTACAATGGCCCTGAAGAAAGTTACTTAGCAGCGGAGAAGTGAAGCAAAGTATGCCATAGCTTCTGATGAGACCAGATGCCTTAGATCTCAGCCATCAGAATGGCTGACGCTATTCAGTTTTTCACATGACCATTGCAGCATTCCCACAGTGACGTGAAAAAAGTTCAGATGCTTAGCATGTGACTCATATTTATGACAGTTGCAGTGTCCCTGGGTTGTGCGATCACTTCTGACAAGCGAAGTCAATGAAAAAGCCAGATTCATTTAACAACAGTGTTACTAACTTAACAATAGTAGTGATTGACTTAACCACTGTAGCAAGAAAGGTCATAAAATGGGACAAAACTCACTAAACAGATTTTTCACTTAAGCAACAAAAATTTTGAGACTTCTAGTTTTGCACCCGTAGCGCATGGCTGTGTGAGAACGGACCTCCGTTCCCCATTGCTAGTTTCATCCTGCCAGGAGGACCCTAGATGGGTCTGAAGTCGCCCCAAAGAGGTGACCGTGAAGGAGGGGCGTCCCATTGATCACAAAGCGATGGCTATCGCTTCGTTTGATCCAGGGAAAGCCCTCCGAGCCCAACAGGAGAAAGACCAGCTACATGCCAGCCTCTAGCCCAAGCTACCTGCAGCCGAAGTCCAAGAGCTCTAACAAGAACAGCAGTGAACAGAGTGTTTGGAATTGGTGAGAGTATTTGATCTTCTCTCCCTTATTTTGCAACTAAGTCCCTGGGAAATATCCCCAAAGCAAAAAAAAAACTCCAAAAGTGAGGGGAAGGGACTATATTCCCATTCCCCCATTGACAGAAGTGGCGAATTAACCTTGAGGAGAGAAACATATTGAAATTAAATTTAAAATACTACAATCTGATTAAATGTAGAAACTATAACAAACTGCCAAGATTATATTCTAAAGGATTTTGATGATATTATAAAGAAAGAAAAATAACTTCTTCTCTAAAAGAGGTGGAAAATAAATATTTTCTGTCATCTAGTGGACAATTAGAATATAGCACATTAAAAACAACGCCCAGAAACAAAGAAAAATCTGTTCCAATGAATTCTAATAACCTTTAAGAAGATAGCTGCCAAGGAAAAAAGAAGAGATTGTATACTGGGCCAGGTATAAGATTGGAAAGTGTTTTGAAGAAAAAGAAATACTTTGATCTATGACTAACTGTTCAGAGGGAAAGTTACAGGAAGGATTTAAGGTGACTAAACATATTGAATTGCAATTCTGACTGGTTGACAATTGACTCCTGAAAGAAAGAATTGTTATAAAATATTGATTTTACTGAAACCTTGACAATTGAAAATTACAGTGGATTATAAAAATTATATATAAAGATAAGAACTATACAAAATTGGACTGTTTGGATTTTGAGTTTTGGCCAGCTTGACAAGACTAATTACAGAGACTATGGTACTTATGACGGATTACTCGAAAGGGGGAGATAACATGGATATGACATATTCATCAAAAAATGACAGAAAACCACACTTAATATCTACCCTTGAAGGATTTAGCCAGAAAGATCAAAGACCTCTAGAAGCAACATTTCAAGACAAGACAAATACTTTCCAAGAAGAAATTTATGCAATGCTACGACAGATACAAATCACAATAGCTCTAAAACACGAGGAGATTAAACATAACTTTGACAACATAAATGAATACACTTCTAATTTAAATTTACAATCAAAACACATTCAAAGAATGATGGTAAAGAATGAACAAACAAATCAAATAACAGAATGTGAACTAGAAAAAAATGACTTAATTGGCAAAGTCACAAATGGAATTATAACTTAATACAAATAAGAAAAAATTCACAATATGGAAATATGGAATAAATAAATATGGAAAAGATACCTTATGCATTAGAACGTCAAAATAAACCTGAGAAGAAAGAAGACTTAACAAAATGGACATTGTTAGGAGAATCACTGTTTGGGAGACAAAAAGCATACATCTTGCGTATTATGTATCCTCTACGCCTAACAACAACTACAAAAATACAAGAACTGTTTGACAAGTCAAAAATATTAATCTGAAAAACAATTTGGCAAAGGAAGAAGATTAGAGATGGGCTTAAGAGACTTGACTCGCCCTACCAGATGGAATATTATACGAGCAAACACTTGTTTGAATATGGCTAAATAAATAAATAACTTTGGCGATAAAGGGGCTTTAGAATAAGTGGGATAAGCGATATAGGTAATATAGTATTTTTGGATAAGATACAAAATGTAAAAATATTGGGATGATGAAAGTGAAAGAAAAGTTTGAACTTTAAAGACAAATTAAGCTTGAAAAGATTTAGGATTAAGGAATGATTGAAATACTTAGGGAAAATTAGGCTTAATAAAACCTTCGAAAAAAGGATATATAGTGATTCAATCAATTTTTATAAATAGAAGTGAAATATAAATTGATTAGAAAAGATTTTATAGGTAGATGTTATGATAGATAAGTAGTATAATATTTCTATAATATATGAAATATGAAAATACTGGGATGATATATTTAAGTGGAAAATTTGTTTGAATATTATGGAGAAATTGAGCTTAAACAAGATTTATGAAAATAAGATATATGGTGAATCAGTAAGATAACTTTTATGAAAATAAAAAGCTGATAAGAAAAAAATGCTATATATGGACACTATTATTGTTGGTATAAATATAGAAGACAGTGTTTTTATTTAATCATTTATATATGGAAAATATCAAATATCAAAAATTATATTTGTTTAATGCTGAAGAAGAATACTATTGGGATAAGAAGCTCAAGGAAATATATTATCAATTGATATACTAATTATTGAAATATAAAAATTAATTATTGACTGTTAATCAACTATTATTGATTGTATATATTTTTTTAAAAAAAAATCATGAACCAAGACATCACGCTGTACACCAGGCACTAAGGTTATTATTGTAAAAAATCAATAAAACTCTTACCCAAAAAAAAAAGAAATAAATTTTGAGCTCAGTTGTGGTCATAAGGTTGAGGACTACTTATAGATGGCTAAATCTGACTTTGCAGGTCTGTACAGCTATACTTTCCAGTACTTTTTTGCACACCAGTTAGGATGCTTGCACTGGAGCCAGAAACTGGGACATCTTAGTCATATCAGGACATATGGCAAACATAAACAGCAATTCCTGATTTCAGGTTTACCATCCAAGAGAAATTAAGTAGAAACAAAAAGGAATATTTGATTTTCCAGCCTCAGATCTAAAAATTAATATTCTTCACATCTCCAGTAATGCTGCATATAGGTTAAACAGCATGATTCTGAATAGCATCAGCCATTCTGATGGCTGAGATCTAAGGCATCTGGCCTTATGACAAGCTATGGCATATTTTGCTTCACTTCTCCGCTGCTCAGTAACTTAATGGTATCACTGCCAGTCAGATTACGCTAATCAGTTGAAGTAAGAAGAATAATTAAGACGAGCTTCTGAAAAGGATGGACATTTAGAAGCATTTGGTCCAGAATCTGATCTTGCTGTACTGCATTGTTAAGCAAAATACATGGCCTCGTGATGGGGAGAATAGGGGGCAGAGGGAGTGAAAATGGGGATGAGATTGATGAAAATGGAATTTAATCTATGGGAAGTTGATAACATTAGTATTTAGTTCACTAAAAACAGTTTGACCCAACATTGATGGCAGTAAAATCTCTATATACCGGTTTTGATATTTGTTTCAGAAGCAATAACCCATATATTGCATGCTGTATAATGCAGCAAATCTAACAGAATGGGAGCTAGGTTAAATCCAATAGATTTATTTTACCAGTTTGGACAAAAATCAATGGCCATCTCATACACCATTTTTTAAAGACCACCTTAACACTGAAAACCCCTTCCCAGAGGTTATCTTCCTCTATTGAAGTCAGTTGCCAAATAAATAGAAACACAAAAGGAAGCTGACCATATTTGGGATTATATATTTTTAACTTGCTACTTTTCTTGATATGAATAAATGTATCTATTCATACTATCATTACAAAAAACAGCAATGGTCTTCCCCATTTGCACCAACCAGGCCTTTTTCACCCACTCTCTACTTGTGACCTGCTTGTACATCTACAGTTAATAATTACATGCAAGTTTATTCCTGTAACTGGAGGTTTAAACCAAAAAAGACACCTAAAGCTCCGTCCACCCTTTGCTCCATTGTCCAGGCTCTTACCGTAAGAAAGCTGTAGTATCAGAAGGTTTGCTAGCACTCTGATCAGCACCATAGCTTCAACTCTGTGTGGCAAGCTGTTTGCCTGGAATTTAGAGATGGGGAACAATTTTCACAAGAATGCACAGTTCAAAATATTTGATTAATCACTTTTTTCTCTTCCATTCCGAAGCAGGAGGATAGATGGGAAAAAACGGCAATTTCTTACCTGTAATATCCCACTCCCTTACTTAGACTTGAGATACAATATTAAACTAATCAGATAACCCAGGTGGAGACGTCTTGATCAAGCAGCACTTTATTTGATCAAATTAAGCAGCTGGGTGGCCAACAATCTGGAACACTGGCAGAGTCACATCCAGAAATGCCACGCATTAGAAAGTTGGTAGCATTGCTTTGTAAATTTTATTAGCCAATGAATATCAGACAACAGAGCCATTCCATCATAAGAAAGACATCAATCATTCCTGTACACTCCCTTATTCCCTCCTTCAATATATCCCATCCATGTACCCGTTTCCTACGTTTGCATGAAATTTCTCTGGTGCAAAAGCTGATTACAAAAAGCAAAAAGCAACAGTTAGACAAAACAATTTCCCTTTGTTCCAGAACCCTTCACCTCCTTATGTAACTTGGCTCTATATCATGCAGCCTGAACAGTGGTGGGATTCAAATATGTGAACAACCGGTTCTCTGTGTAGATGCCGCTTCCAAAAGTCCATTCTGGGCCTGGGCAACAAAAAATTAGCTACCGGTTCTGCCGAAGTGGTGCGAACCAGCTGAAGCCCACCACTGAGCCTGAAGCACGAAAGAAAACTGATAACAAGACTGGATATGTATCTCAATAAAAACAGACCCTTCCAGAAAGCAAAAAACCCTAATATGTGATTAATGCAGTCTATGTGAGATGTTGTTGCAGAATTCACTTGAACTTTAGGATTGAAGAAAAACAGATTTTTTTTTTCTTTTAACTGGAAATATTTTGAAACCAAAAAAAGCCAGGGCACTTAGACCATGTAAAGGCAAACACACACTCAGTTGACCCATTTGTTTGGCTGGTGTGGAAAAATGACTGTTTCTGTGTTATGAATAGTGGGGGCAACTGATACTAACTTAAGTCCAACAATTTTCAGGGTTGTGAGACTGGCTTGAATTTGAGTTGTTTAAAATTAACCTTCACCTTTAAATTTCATCCTCTCCAGATGCCTGTACTTTAACTCCTAGAATTTCCCAGTCAGGATGGCAATTGTGGAGAATTAGGGAAGCTGAAATCTATACAACTGGGGGGAGGGTATCCAGCTATGGTACCAGACTGGCTCAGGAGTTCTGGGAGTTGAAGTCCACAAGTCATAAGGGGAGCCATAGCTCCCCACATCCGTTCTAGAAGCAGCTGTGCTTTTGGGGTTGGGACTCAACAGGAAAACAAGGGGTGGAGCTGGAGTGTCCTTGTGCCCATTCTTCCGATTCTGCTCTAGCCTCCCTGTCGCTGATTCCGGCATCTTGGTGGCCTGTTCTGCAGGTGAAAGTCACTTTGAGGAAGCCGCTGCTTTATTAGCCTCCAGCAGCCCCGCCATGCCCAAGGCAAGTCTCCCCCGCTCGCCGCTTCAGCAAAGAGAGGAGAGCAGTCTTTTCCGAGGGGAAGAGAAGCCAGGACGGCAGAGCCGTCCATACCAGAGCTGGACTCGGGCAGGGCCGGTGCATGTGTCGCCTTAGGCTCCACTCTTCAATCACGCCCTGTTATGTGTTTGCACATGCGCGCACATGGGCACGCACATGCGCAAATTTTGCCGCTTCCGGAAGTCCGTTCTGGGCCTGGGCAACAAAAAAATTAGCTACCGGTTCTGCCAATGTGGTGCGAACTGGCTGAATCCCACCACTGAGCCTGAAGCATGAAAGAACACTGATAACAAGACTGGATATGTATCTCAATAAAATCGGACCCTTCTGGAAAGCAAAAAACCCTAATATGTGATTAATGCAGTCTATGTGAGATGTTGGTGCAGAATTCGCTTCAGCTTTAGGTCGGAAGGAAAACAGATTTTTTTCTTTTAACTGGAAATATTTTTAAACCTAAAAAAGCCAGGGAATTACACCATATAAAGGCAGCCACACACTCAGTTGACCCATTTGGAAAAACGACTGTTTCTGTACTATGAATAGTGAGGGCAACTGATACTAACTTAAGTCCAACAATTTTCAGGGTTGTGAGACTGGTTTGAAAAGACTCCACATTTTCCATTCTAGGATCTAGTTTTGGAAAAGCAGATCAGGAAAGCTGGCTATGCACAGCACTGGATGGACGCTCTCCACAGCTGTAATTTTTTTGAATTTGACTTGTTTAAAATTAGCTTTAACCTTTAAATTTCATCCTCTCCAGATGCCTGGACTTCAACTCTTAGAATTTCCCAGTCAGGATGGTAATTGTAGATAATTAGGGAAATTGAAGTCTGTAAAACTGGGGGGATAGTACCAGACTGGCTATAGTACCAGACTGGCTCAGGAATTCTGGGAGTTGAAGTCCACACGTCATAAGGGGAGCCATAGTTCCCCACCTCCGCTCTAGGAGCAGCTGCGCTTTTGGGGTTGGGACCCAACTGGAAAACAAGGGGTGGAGCTAGAACGTCCTTGCACCCGTTCTTCCGATGTTGCTCTAGTCTCCCCATCGCTGATTCCGGCATCCTGGTGGCCTGTACTGCAGGTGAAAGCCAGGACTCGCTCTAACAACCTGCTCTAACACTGGAAGTTTTTAAGAAGAGACTGGACAGCCAAATAATAATAATAATAATAATAATGATGATGATGATGATAAGGTTGGAAGGTACCTTGGAGGTCATCTAGTCCAACCCCCTGCTCAGGCAGGAAACCCTATACCATTTCAGACAAATGGCTGTCCAGTTTCTTCTTAAAAACTTCCAGTGATGGAGCATTCACCGCTTCTGGAGGCAGGTTGTTCCACTGCTTAATTGTTCTAACTGTCAGGAAGTTTCTCCTTAGTTCTAGGTTGCTTCTCTTTGGTTAGTTTCCACCCGTTGCTTCTTGTCCTGCCTTCAGGCACTATGGAGAATAGCTTGACTCCCTCTTCTTTGGGGCAGCCCCTGAGATATTGGAATACTGCTATCATGTCCCCCCTTGTCCTTCTCTTCGTTAAACTAGACATACCCAATTCCAGCAACCATTCCTTATATGTTTTAGCCTCCAGTCCCCTAATCATCTTTGTTGCTCTTCTCTGTACTCTTTCTAGAGATTCAACATCTTTTTTACATTGTGGTGACCAAAACTGGATGCAGTATTCCAAGTGTGGCCTTACCAAGCCATTGTAAAGTGGTATT